CCTAAACCCTAAACCCTAAACCCTGATATATATATATATATATATATATACCCTGTGGATGCAGGGTATCAATGTATTAAAAATGAATTTGTTTAGGGTTTAGGGTTTAGGGTTTAGGGTTTAGGGTTTGCTCGTTTGTTTATTTAGGAGAAGGCGTTTATCTATTTCTTTTTCTTTATATATATATATATATATTATATTCGTTGTTTGTTTTTTATGCTTTGTTTGTTGTGCTTAGCTCTGTGAGAGCCTAAGAGCATCTTTCTTTAGGCATTTTGCTGAGGGTGTAGACCCAGCAGCAGGAGGAGCAGCAGGAGCAGCAGCAGCAGCAGCAGCAGCAGAAGAATTTCGCTTTAATGGTGAAGCAATTACAAACCTTGCTTCATTTAAAAGGCATCTTCAAGCACTTCAGGATTGGCGGTGGGTGTACGGAGAGACACCGGACTTCAGCTGCAAATATAATACCAGGTTCCCCTGGGGATCATTCGTAAGCTAGGGTTTAGGGTTTAGGGTTTAGGGTTTAGGGTTTAGGGTTTAGGGCTTTGATTCAGTGACGGAGGATCACTCGTAAGTTCAGCCTATGGTTTACGGCCTAGGGTTTAGGGTTTAGGGTTTAGGGACTAAGGTTAAGGGTTTTGATTGAGCTTAGGGTTTAGGGTTTAGGGTTTAGGGTTTGTGGGGGAGATATTGAATTCCAAACCTGGCTGTCTGAGTTAAGGGCATCGGGATCGGTGCGTCGCGTTAGGGTTTAGGGTTTATGAGGGTTTAAGGTTTACTAAGGTTTAGGGTTTATTATGGTTTAGGGTTTATGAGGGTTTAGGGTTTATTAGGGTTTAGGGTTTAGGGTTTAGGGTTTAGTTTGCTCTTCAGGAGGTGGGGCTCTCTGTTGAGAAAGGGTTTGTAGATGACTGCGTTATATACAGCGACTGTCTTTATACGGAACTAACTGAGGCCTTTGCTGAAGCCCTTAAAGGTAAACCCTAAACCCTAAACCCTGAACGGGACCCACTCCAGAGGGAGCAGCGCACAACCACCGCTCCCCGCAAACCCTAAACCCTAAACCCTACGCCGTCAAGCTTGTATGTTTCCTGGGGACCCCACTCAGAAAACCCTAAACCCTAAACCCTAAACCCTAAACCCTTTCCTGTGCATCAGGTGCCGCCTACACTGCTGCGGGAGTACACGCCAAGATTACTTCCCTCCGCTGTAAGGACACCCAAACCCTAAACCCTAAACCTTCAAAACCCTAAACCGTCAACAGCTAAACCCTAAACCCTCATCTGAACCCTAAACCCTCAGCTCAAACCCGCAGCCTAAGCCCCCAGCAGCAAAGCTGTGAGAGGCGTCATGCACAAGACTGCAGATTCTTTAGGGTTTAGGGTTTAGGGTTTAGGGTTTGTGTTGCTGCAGCGAAGTTCCCAGGACATGCAGAGAAGGTCGATGAGTTTGCAGAGTGGCTGGCTGAGGCATCTCAGTCTTAGGGTTTAGGGTTTAGGGTTTGGGAGGAAGTACAGAGCAGTAGTTGTTCGGTGTGTGGTGAGAAGAATGGGTTTGCTTCGATGGAGGCATGTGCTTCTGAATCTAGGGTTTAGGGTTTAGGGTTTGGGGTTTACAAGGCATCTTCGGGTTGTTCGCGGTGTATATTAATATTACTTAAATAATATTATTTTATTTATTTATTATTATATATAATTTTTATTATTTTTTATTAGGGTGCTTCTGTTTGTCTGTCTCCATTTATATACACCTCAACACCTGCAGCAACTGCTGCTGCTGCAGCAACTCCTGTTGCAGTTGCTGCTGCTGCAGCAGATGCTGCTGCTACTGCAGGTGCTGCTGCTGCAGCAGATGCTGCTGCCGCAGATGCTGCTGCTGCTGCAGCAGATGCTGCCACTACTGCAGGTGCTGCTGCTGCAGCAGATGCTACTGCAGCAGATGCTGCTGCTGCAGCAGATGCTACTGCAGCAGATGCTGCTGCTGCAGATGCTGCTGCTGCAGCAGGTCTAGGGTTTACTGTCTCTGTCTCTTTTTTTTTTACTTGAGATGCTTAATTTTGAACCTGTGGCTGCAGCGAAACGAAAGGAATATGATTACTTAGGCAGCCAATAGCTAGCTGCAGCTAGCCACAGCTAGCTACGGCCTCACCCAGCTCAGCTAGCTACCGATATCCACAGCTAGCTACAGCTAACCACACATAGCTAGCTACAGCTCGCTGCAGCTAGTCTCAGCTACCCTCAGCTAGGTGTAGCTAGCTACAGCTAGATACACCTAGCCAGCCACAGGACGCTGCAGCTAGTCGCAGCTAGGTGTAGCTAGCTACAGCTAGTTGCAGCTAGCTAGCCAGAGGGAGTACGTCGTTGCGAGCTCCGTCGGGGTGTACAGACAGCTAAAGAAAGGGGCAGTGGAGGAACTTCAAACACAAAAGACCTGCGGATACACCTCAAACTGCCTAGACACCCCACAGCTGCCTAGACACCCCACACTGTGTACACGCCAAAATGCTGCCAGCACATCGGCCTGTACACCCCAGAGCTGCCTATACACTCCAGAGCTGGGTATACACCCCAGAGCTGCCTATACACTCCAGAGCTGCCTATACACCCCAGAGCTGCCTATACACCCCAGAGCTGCCTATACACCCCAGAGCTGCCTATACACTCCAGAGCTGCCTATACACCCCAGAGCTGCCTATACACTCCAGAGCTGCCTATACACTCCAGAGCTGCCTATACACTCCAGAGCTTCCTATACACCCCAGAGCTGCCTATACACCCCAGAGCTGCCTATACACCCCAACTGCCATTCGGGGGTCACCGGCAGCAGCAGCAGACAAACAAAGCCCTCTGCAGCTTAGCCTTCAGTTTTTATAAACCCTAAACCCTTAACATTTATTTTTATTATTTTACAACAAATAAAATGCTGCTGTTCTCTATCAGTGCTGTCATTCAGGTGTTGGGGGCCCCGCGGGGGCCCCCAACCACCCGCATCCAAATACAACCCCCAAACCCTCAACCCTAAACCCTAAACCCTAAACCCTAAACCCGAAGAGCAGCAAGGCGCCATTAGACCATATTTTGCACCTTTAAGTCAATTGAATTTTTGCGTGGTTGGGCTCGGAACCCTAAACCGCGAACCCTAAACCCTAAACCCTAAACCCTAAACCCTTAGCGGCACTGAAGAGAGCTTCGCTGCCTCCTTGACTCCGCTTTGCTCTAAATTTTATTACTCGATTATTGGAAGCTCCACCCTAAACCCTAAACCCTAAACCCCAAACCCTAAACCCTTATTTTTAATAGTAGTAGTATAAACCCTTCACTGACAGGCAGCAGCAGCAGCTCTGCGGCTATGGGGGGGGCCGTAGGCTTGTTGGGGATTCACTGCCGGAACAGCAGCAGCAGCAGCAGCAGCAGCAGCAGCAACGCTGCAGCAGCTGTTGCTTCTCCTGAATATGCGGAGGCTCAGCTGCAGCAGCAGGAACAGCAGCAGCACGAGGATCATCAGCAGCAGCAGCAGCAAGAACAGCAGCAACAGCAGGAGGAGGAGAAGCAGCAACAGCAACAGCAGCAGCAGCAGCAGCAGCAGCACGAGGATCATCATCAGCAGCAGAGAGCATGGGAGGAGTTATCTCTTCATTCTATATCTGACGACAACTTTGATGACTTAGAAGATTTAGGGGGGCCCCCGGGGCCCCCTGCTTCCTTTAATCAAGAGAGAAGCAAGAGCTCTCGAGCTGCTGCTGCTGCTGCTGCTGCATCGTCTCAGCCAGCAGCAGCAGCAGCAACAACAAGAACAAAGCGAGGGAGACCTCGCAGGCGGAGGACCAGCCCTGCAGCAGAAACAGCAGCAGCAGCAGCAGAAGACGTTGATGCAGCAGCAGCAGCAGCAGCAGCAACAGACTGCAGCAGCTTTGACGAAGACGTCCCCTTAGATGCTTCCTCTCTTCTCTCTTCTTCCTTCTGCACAAAGCAGCAGCAGAAGCAGCAGCAGCAGCAGCAGCAGCAGCAAAAGCAGCAGAACAGCGAAGACTCCAAGGAGCATACAAACTCAGCATACACCGACAGCAGCAACAGCAGCAGCAGCAGACGCAGCAGGAAGCGGCTTCGGGGGGGCCCCACAAAGGCGTATATAGAAGCAGAGGACAGCTGCAGCAGCAACCCACCCAGCAGCAGCAGCAGCATCACAACAACCACCAGCAGCAACTGCAACAGCAGCAGCAGCAGCAGCCTCCCCTCCTTAGACGAAGTCAACAAGTAAGCAGCATCCCTTCCTTGCTGGCTTTCACTAGGGTTTAGGGTTTAGGGTTTAGGGTTTGTGCGGTTCAGGGCGACACCGCTGAGTGCACGGAGAAGACAGGCGCTGAACAAGAAAAAGAAATTGCTGCAGCAGGAAGCAGAGGCTCTCGCAAAGGAGGTACCGTTGCTGCTGCTGCTGCTGCTGTTGCTGTTGCTGCTGCTGCTGCTGCTGCTGTTGCTGCTGCTGCTGCTGTTGCTGCTGTTCGTTAGTCATCTGGGGCTTAGCAGATACTCCGCTTGGGTCTGCCGTTGCTGCTGCTGCCGTTGCTGCTGCTGCTGATGCTGCTGCTGCTGCTGTTGCTGCTGCTGCGGCTATTGCTGCTGCTGCTGCTGCTGCTGCTGCTGCTGCGTGTTTAGGTTGAGGTGCTGCGCCAAGAAGGGCCGCTGGATTCAGAAGAGACAAAACAGCAGCACTGGAAGGCGATGCTGCTGCAGCAGCTGCAGCAGCAGCAGGCAGCAGCAGCTGCTGCAGCTGCTGCAGTGACACCTGATGCAGACGGGTAAGTTTATGTCTCTCATCACTTGCTGCTGCTGCTCTTGCTGCTGCTGCTGCTGCTTTTGTTGTTGTTGCTGCTTTTGCTGCTGCTCTGGATGCTGCTCTGGCTGCTGCTTTAATGGGCACGCAGCAGCAGCTGCTGCTGTCATTGCTGCTGCTGCCAGCCAAAGGCGCAGCTGCTGCTGCTGCTGCTGCTGCAGACAACATTAAGGGCGATGTGCTGCTGCTGTTGTTGTTGCTGCTGCTGCAGGTGGGCCCCTCTTGGCTCCAAATTGCCGCAGATAAGGTAATCCTCTGTTGCTGCTGCTGCTGCTGCTGCTGCTTCTGCTGCTGCTGCTGCTCCTTCTGCTGCTGCTGCTGCTGCTGCTGTTTGGTTACTTGAATTGTTCTGTTGCTGGATGCGCCTTTGTGCTGCTGCTGCTGCTGCTGCTGCTGCTGCAGCGTGAGGCTGGCGGTGCTGCGGCGCGACGGGTCAGAGGAGAAAAACAAAAAATTTAATCACGTCCAGCTGCCCAAGGTATGCAGCAGCAGCAGCAGCAGCAGCAGTAGTTGCAGCAGCAGCTGCTAGCGGTAGTAGCAGTTGTTGTAGCAATAGCAGCAGCAGCAACAACCGCAGCAACAGCAGCAGCAGCAACTGCCGCAGCAACAGTTGCACAAGGGTAATGCTCTGTGTTTTTTCGCGTGTAATTATTGCGCTGCTGCTGCTGTTGTTGTTGCTGCTGCTGCTGCTGCAGGAGGCGACTGTGGGGGAGGTTGCTGCTGCAGTAGCAGCAGCAGTTTCGCTGCCAGTTTGCTGCTGCAGGTTAATTGTGTTTAGTCTCGATGGAGACAGAATCCCTCACGAGACCCAAATAGGTATGCCTCCTAAGCCCTAAACCCTAAACCCTAAACCCTCAGGCGAAAAGGTAGTTAATGCCGTTGCTTCTTGCTGCTGCTGCTGCTCCTGCTGCCGCTACTCCTGCTGCTGCTGCTGCTGCTGCTGCTGCTGCTGCGGTGTATAGGCAGCGCCGAGCTCGATATAGAAGAGGGAACGCAAATCGATGTGCTGCTGCCGGCCCCGCAGGGCCCTCTCCCCCATCAGCATGTAGGTGCTAGGGTTTAGGGTTTAGGGTTTAGGGTTTCAAGGGGGACTTGGCTAGCATTCTGAATTAGAGTCTCTTCGTGCAGCAGCACACATTGCTGCTGCAGGTTTTCCTGCTGCTGCTGCTACTACCAGTTCCTTTGCTCCACTACATCTGCTACTGCTACTGCTGCTGCTGCTGCTGCTGCTGCTGCTGCTGCTGCTGCTGCAGGGAGCTGGAGGGGCCTCCCAGTCGCCCCCCTTGCCGGAGGCTGAACACCAAGACGCGGTGCCGCTCGCTGACGGCTCGCTGTTGATACTTGACTAGCTAGCTAGCTAGCTATCTAGCTAGCTAGCTACGTATGTAGCTAGCTATCCATCTATCTATATCTATCAATCTGGCTAGCTAGCTAGCTATGTGTCTAGGTGGATAGCTAGCTAGCTATGTATCTAGCTAGCTAGATACTTGATTCAGACGTTAGTTCTTGCTTGGGTGGCTAGCTACCTGTCTTTGAAGTTGTAGTTAGCTAGCTAGCTAGCTAGCTAACTCGCTAACTTGCACTTCAAAGCCCCGCACCCTTAGCTAGCTGGAAGGTCCTTACGGCTAGCTGCGCAGCTAGCCAGCTAGCTAGCTAGCTATCTAGATAGCTATCTATCCGTCTACCTATCTATTTAGCTAGCTAGCTATCTAGCTAGCTCGCTAGCTAGCTAGCCCAAGAAGGCGTTTCAAGGAGGCTCCCCTGAACGCCTCCAACAGTTCACCCCCCACACCTTCTAGCAGCTAGCTAGCTAGCTAGCTAGCTGGCTGGCTAGGTGTATGTGTGGGGGGCATTTTGTGGGTAGAGTCGGTTGCCTGGGAGCCGTATCCCGCCGATCGTGCTTGCAGCTAGCTACAGCTAGCTGCTGATGAGCTGGTAGTAACTAGCTGCAGCTGCAGCTAGCTACAGCTGTAGCTAGTCACAGCTGTAGCTACCTGCAGCTAGCTACAGCTAGCTGCAGCGCGAGCAGCCGCAGGAAGAGAGTGTCTGCGAATGAATTGACTGCCGCACGACTTGCTGCTTTTTTTTTCAAGTCCCTGGGTTGCTGCTGCTGCTGCTGCTGCTGCTGCTGCTGTCTTGCTGTAGTGAGTTTTTAGTGTTTGTATGTGTTGTTGCCTTCTCTTTGTTTCGCTGCAGAGGGTTTTGAGGTGTATAGACACCTCAATATATATGCAGCAGCGTCTGCATGCAGCAGCCAGCCCCAGCGAATCCATTTATATACCTACTTTAAGTAAAACCCACTTTGTCTAGGGTTTAGGGTTTAGGGTTTAGAAATAAGGGTTTAGGGCTTAGAGCTTAGGGATAGGCTCTCTATGTACAATAAGTGTTAAGCCTTGGCATTAGTGGCTGTCTATGAAATTTAGGGTTTAGGGTTTAGGGTTTAGGGTTTAGAGGCGCGCTTTGCACAGAGTAAACCCTGATGATAGTTAGGTTGGTGTGTAGGGAGTAAAAAGGAAACGAATTTGTTTATTAAATATTTTAAATAAGTTGTTTATAATTTAAAAATATTAATTTTAATTACTTTACGCAGAAATATTGCTGGGGTTTGCTGCGCTTTTGAGGTGTATAGGCAGCCCAACAGTCAAACCACCGACAGCAGTTGGCTGCACTGTTTAATTTGCTCGGTTTTCTTTTTCTTATTTTAAATAAATTATTATTATTTATTTATTTATTTATTCTTCTTTTAATTTAACCCCATTTGATTCCCTCTACTCGCAGTGTCACACTCAGGAAGGAGGGCGGCTCAGGCGCTAAACCCTAAACCCTAAACCCTAAACCCTAAACCCTAGAGGGGTAAACCCTAATTTTAAAACCCTATTTAACGCGCTTTGCCCTCCCTGCAGGGTATTGATCAGTAGGATTGGCATGAGGGGGCCCCCCTAAGTTCGGGGGGCCCCCTAGATCGAGCAAGCAGTCAACCCTTTAAACCCTAAACCCTAAACCCTTACAAACCCTTGCTGAAAGCAGCAGCACCAATTCACTTCTCCGCTCAAGTCTGTCTTTCTTCTTTTCTATGAGTGTGGCGCGAGGGTCTACCTAGGGTTTACCATCTAGGGTTTAGGGTTTAGGGTTTATACTGAGCTTGTGCATGAGTCTCCGACAGCGTCGAGCTGGCAGCGAGGGGGGCCCCCAGGGGGCCCCTTGGGGGCCCCCAGTTGAACCCCTAGAGCAGCAAGAAGGAGAGGGAAGTGCTGAAGAAGATATAGGGGGTCGCCCTGTCAAGCAGCGGCATAGGGGTCCTTCAAGATTCTTTATGCTGTCTTGCTACACTGCTACTCTTTCTCTGCTCTTTCTTGCTTGCGCAATTGGAGGTTAGGGTTTAGGGTTTAGGGTTTAGGGTTTAGGGTTTAGGGATTGGGTTTATGGTTTGGGCGTAGCGCTAGGGTTTACAGGGATGGGTTTTAGAGTTTAGGGGTAGCTTTTAGGGCTGGGATTAGGGTTTAGGGTTTAGGGTTTAGGGTTTGCGTGCAGGCTGCTTCCTGGGGATTTATATCTCCACCCCTCATCTACGGGCTGTTGAAGCGAACATAGAAAACAAGAGTAGGGCCTAAACCCTAAACCCTAAACCCTAATTCTGCGAGCCGAAAACCCTAAACCCCAAACCCTAAACCATAAACCTTGGGTTGTTTTTAAGTATCTCTCGAGTTCTGTAGATTTCTGTTGGATGAATGGAATCTGTTCTAACAACCTCTATTAATTTAGGGTTTAGGGTTTAGGGTTTAGGGTTTAGGGTTTAGGGTTTAGGGTTTAGGGTTTGTGTGCAGGTGCTCCTGGTACACTGAAGATTGATGTGGCGGGTAAAGATTTATTATTTGGAGGGGAGCTGTGGTTCTTCTTTCGTTTGCATAATTCGTCGTCTTTTGCTTTGTCCTTCTTCGTCGAGGACTTTGATGTTTATTATTATCCGATAGGCGCCTCCAGACAGTGTCTCCTTTATCACGGAGGTACAAACCCTAAACCCTAAACCCTAAACCCTAAACCCTAAACCTCAAGCAGTCAGATACTCCCTCCTTCGAACGGCAGATGCAAACCCTATATAACCCTAAACCCTATACACCAGATGATAGACAACAAACAGAATGCAGCAATTTACGAGGAGGGTTTAGGGTTTGGGGATTAGGGTTTAGGGTTTATTAGGGTTTAGGGTTTGCTCCAGGTACCCTCCTCGATAGCAAACAGCGGGCCTTCCAACACCGAGAAAAATTTGCTTCGCCGACTAACCACCCGTGGGCTTACTTCTCGCAGCCAGACAACCAGGTTAGGGTTTAGGGTTTAGGGTTTAGGGTTTAGGGTTTAGGGTTTTTGGAGTTTTAGGATTTAGGGGTGTTAGGATATAAGTGTTGAATGCTTGCAGCGGTTTAGGGTTTGATAGCGTTAGAATAGGGTTTAGGGCTGTTGGATAAGGTGCGTTTAGGGTTTTAGGGTTTTAGGGTTTAGGGTTTAGGGTTTAGGGTTTATGAGGGTTTGTGTGTGCAGCTGGAGGTAGGCCCCCGCGAGGCCCGGCAAGGCAGCAGCGTTGAGGTGGCTTTGCCGTGGCGTGTTGGCCTCCGTCTGAGTTTAAGTGGAGGGGGTGAGAATTTAAAAGAAATAAAAGCAGTCGCAGATGATTGCTTGTCTTACGGGTATGTGCTGCTAGGGTTAGAGATTAAAGCAGCACACACAAATTCCTTCCTTGCACAGGTTCCAATAGCTGGGCCTATTCATATTATTGAAGCTGTTGATTGCAGTGTATCTGCAGCAGCAAAACAAGCATTAAAAAAAATATCCCGTGCATACACCTCAGAAATACTAAAGGGTATGAGTAATACCCCTAATCTATTTTCATCTACATCTACACCTTAATATTTTACTTTTCATCTTTGTTTTTTAAACAAATACACAAATTAAACAAACAAATTTTATTAAGAAACATTCAGATTCTGTCTATTGCATAAGAAGAAGGATTGTTGGGGTGTACATACACCGCGCACAAGGAGGCTAAGCAAACAGCAAGGAAGAAGAAAAACAAACAAAAAACAGAAAATAACGGCAGTAAATATATTTGTTTAAAGTTTTATATAAATTAAATATTTTTATTTTCATTAAAATGACTATTCCATTGCTTAATTAGCAGCAGCCTTACTGCAGCTGCGAGTATACTCGCTCAGGTGTATAGGCAGCTGTTGCTCTATGTATGCATATACAAGAAATATGATAATTAAAAAACTAATTAAAATTATAAGACAGTATTAAGACAAACAAACGAAAAATAAATATAATTGTTTTAAATTGATTTTACAAAGGGGCTGTTCCGGGAATTGAACCCGGGACCTCTCGCACCCTAAGCGAGAATCATACCACTAGACTAAACAGCCGACGGTCATGGAGCCCTAAACCCTAAACCCTAACAAACCCCAAACCCTAAACCCTAACAAACCCTAAACCCTAACAAACCCTAGACCCTATCAACCACTAAACAATCTACCCTAACAAACCCTAGGCGAGAGTCATACCACTAGACTAAACAGCTGACAATCAGAGAGCTCTAAACCCTACGCCCTAACAAACCCTAAACCCTAAACCCTAACAAACCCTAAACCCTAACAAGCCTCTCTAGCAAGGACAACAAACCATAAGCCCTAAACCCTAACAAACTCTAAACCCTAACAAGCCTCTCTAACAAAAACAACAAACCCTAAACCCTACGCAGAACCCCAAATGGGGGCCCTAACAAGAAAGACAAACCCTAATAAACCCTAAACCCTAACAAACCATAATAAGCCCCAGAAAACCCTCATAAACCCTAGGTATATACAAAAGCTGCAGCAAATATTGCAGCGGAGAGTATAGACACACTTAGAGCAGCACTTGCCCTGACGAGAAGGCACAGCACCTTAAACCCTAAACCCTAAAATCCAGCAGATATCTGTACCGTAAACCCTGCGTCTGTTGCTGCTTCTGCTGTTTTTGCTGCTGTCCCTGCTGCTGCTGCTGCGCTAACTAGCAGCCTAGGCAAAGGCTTGCTGCCTCTCCTACTCGTGCTTCTTCTGCTGCTGCTACTATTGCTGCTGCTGCTATTGCTGCTGCTGCTGCTGCTGCTGCTGCACTAGCCTGTAACTGTTGTTAGGGCATGGAGGTCTTTCATTCGCTGCATGAGTTGGTGAGGGGTTTTATATAAATCTATGTTCATTACGATGGGGGCCCCCCCGCGGCCTGCAGCAGCAGCAACAGCAACAGCAGCAGCAGCAGCAGCAAATGCTGCACCAGCACAGGCGGCAGCAGAAAAACCAGCACCAATACACGCTGCAGCAGCAACACACTCTGCAGCAGCAACACAGATCGCAGCAGCAGCAACACCAGCAGACACGCACACTGCAGCAGCTGCTGCAGCTGCAGCAGCAGCAGCAGCTGCAACCCGCTCTGCAGCAGCAGTTGCAGCAGTAGTAGAGACACGCTGAAGCAACCGACTGAAGCCCGCCAACATTCTCTGTCAAACCCCAAACCCTAAACCCTAAACCCTAAACCCTAAACCCTAAACCCTAAACCCTAAACCCTCACTGAGAGTGAATGAGAGTGCGTTGCGCTGCGCTCCCTCAACCAAAACAAATTTTATGTTTGAATTAGACAGGCGAAGACCAGGCAAAAAACTCTTCGCAAAGGCGCTGCACACAAACCCTAAACCCTAAACCCTAAACCCTAAACCACAAACCCTAAACCTTAAGCCCTTTTCTGCCATGCGAATACCGGGGAGCAGCACCAACAGAAAAAACCCTAAACCCTTAGATTTGGCCTCAACCCTAGACAACCTTACCCCCTAAACCCTAAACCCTAAACCCTAAACCCTCGCTTGCCTGTAGAGTTTGTGTTTGCTTGCGGCTCCCCTCAGTTCAATCTTCATAGACTCAACCCCCGCTAATAAAACCCCCCCACACGCGAGCAGCCGCTCTAAGCGGCGACTAGAAGCCATCAATAAACCCTAAACCCTAAACCCTAAACCCTAAACAGCGGGAAGCATACGAGCTCTACTGAGGGGCACCAAGCAAACGGCTGGAACAACCACACTGATGTTGCTGCAGCTGTTACTGGGGTTGCTGCTGTTGCTGTTGCTGCTGCTGCTGTTGCTGTTGCTGCTGCAGCTCTGGCTGCAGCAGCAGCTGGCGCTGCTGCTGCTGTCGCTGCTGCTGCTGTTGCGGCTGTATTTGATTCTACTGCTGTTGCTGCTGTTGTTTTTGTTGCTGCTGCTGCTGCTACCGCTGTGTTTGCTGCTTCTGCTGCTGCTTCATCTGGTGCCCTCTTAACAGCGTAGGAGGGTAGCGAGAACCCCAAACCCTAAACCCTAAACCCTAAACCCTAAACCCTTAAGCAAAAGGCTTAACCAAACAACTGCAAAACAACTAAAGAAATAATAAAAGTAATATACTTCTATATGCTGGGGGCCCTGAGGGGCCCCCGCAGCAGGGGGGGCCCCTGGGGGGCCCCCAGGGGCCTCCCCCCAAGGAGTTGATATCAATATATTAAATTAATTAATATAATATATTATTATATATACTGAGTAAAATATTATATTATTATATTTTTATTTATATTAAATATTATACTAATAACATTTTTTTCTATGAATTAAATTAATTTGTATTTTTTATATTAAAAATT